GAAATTTTATCTGTTTTGTTTGCTGATGTTCACCCAGTGCTTCACACAGTGCCACCTGACACATAATAGATGCTCAATAAATATTTGTTAGGTGAGTAAGTGAATAGAAACACATCACAAATTGTCTTCCCTTCCTGATGAATCACAGAGCATATTATCATACTTTGGAAATCCCTGCATAAGAAACATAGTTAAATACCATTTTCCAGATGATTTCACTATAGAAACTTTTTTAAAATGGAAAGATATATTAATTATCCCATGGAACTAGTATTCTAAGGGACACACTCTGGGGAATACTTTTCTCAAATGCACATCATTTATGTTAGCAGATGGTCAGGTTTTTAGACTCAGAACATCACCCAGAACTCCACCACAGAGTTTTCAAAATACTTCAGAATTGGGAGCTGCGTGTAGATGATTGCCCAGAAGAAATCTGCTTTGGCTCTATTCATTTCTTTGATCTAGAAAGCCAAGGAGTTATGGGTAGGGTGATCAATAGAAATGACAGGCTAGAGCCAATGCCCAAGAAAAAGGAATCACAAGTTTGGGTCTTATGTTTACTAATTATATTGAATATGCAGTCTACACTCACAGCCTTTTTGCCCACACACATATTTTTCCTCACTAGTACATGGGGACAGCAGCAGTCACAATAACATACTAGGACTGGGGAAATAATGTGTGCTTTGGAGTCAAACAGGTGTGGGCCTAAATCTGCCTATGCCATGTATTAGCTGAGCAACATTAGGAGAATCATCATGATTCATAAAGCTTCAGTTTCCTTTCGTGTAAAGTGGGAACTTAATACCTATTCTTCAGGGTCATTTACAAGCTTGAATGAGAGAAGAAAAGTGCCTATATTATTGATAAATAATAGCTGTTTTATCATTATCTACCAGAATGTAAGCTCTAAAAAAGAAAAGAGATTTTTGGTTAGATTGTTCACTGATGTATTCCCAACACTTGGAACAATGCCTGCCACAGAGGAAACACTCAATAAAAACATGTTAATTGTTGAACGAATTGTTATTATTACTAAGACCTCTTCCAGCTCTAACTTTTACAAAGTTATGAATCTATACAAAAGGAATTTAGCAAAGTGCCGTAAGGAGATGTTCTTTGTGTTGATACTATGTAGATGTAAGTCTTCATTCGTCATACTCTTGTTTTGTCTAAAGAGCCCCTCCCCACCTTTACTTAGACATTATTACTCTCAAAAACCAGTACAGGACTGGCCGGTTAGCTCAGTTCATTACAGTATGGCCTTATAACTCTAAGGTCATGAATTTGGATCCCTGTACTGGTCAGCCAGGAAAAAAAAAGTACACAAGAAATTTTCAATATTTAGCCATCTGACGTCTTGTCTTCCTAACTGGACTATAACTTCTTTTCTTTCAAGGCAGGGAATGTTTCTTTTTCACTTTTTTTTTTCTTGCACATCATTATACTATTTCATGCATATTATTTACCTGATTTGTACATCCAACTTGTAACCTAGCAAAATAACTGAATCATCATAGGTACCTAATAAATTTTCACTGAGATAGGAACCCAAGAGAGGAAGAAGGTTTGGTCAGCAGTCCTCACCTTCCACATGGAAAGAAAACATTGAGGATGAGGAATCAAATATGTTGGGAGCCTTGTGTTTCTTCCTAAATCATCCTCTGCCTGAAAAAGACAGCCCAGGGGAATAAGTATTATGACCATTTTAATAATGTTTATTATTTTGACTAAAGCCTATTCAGGAAACTTTTCTTGGGTGTCTTCTGTAGGCCAGGCACTGTGCTTGGTACTGGGAAAGATGTGGGAGAAGACGCAAAAGTGAAAAACACGTGAGTGGTCTCAGTCCCCAGGGAGCAAATGATCCCATAAGTTCTATATCATAAAGGCAAACGTGCACAATAGCTATAATAATTATAATAATAATTTATATTATTAAGAACTAATGGGCTGGCCCATGGCTCACTTGGGAGAGTGTGGTGCTGACAACACCAAGTCAAGGGTTAAGATTCCCTTACCGGTCACCTTTAAAAAAAAAAAAAAGAACTAACTATATCTCAGGCACTTTTTGAAAAAGTTTACCTACATAATCTAACTTCATCCTCACACAACACCAAGTCAAGGGTTAAGATTCCCTTACCGGTCACCTTTAAAAAAAAAAAAAAAGAACTAACTATATCTCAGGCACTTTTTGAAAAAGTTTACCTACATAATCTAACTTCATCCTCACGATGTCTCTGAGAGCTAAGTATTCTCATTATTGTCACTGGAAAGAAGAGGAAGCTGAGGTACATAGCAGTTAAGAAAGTTGCCCCAGGTCACAGAGCTGTAAATAGTAGAGCTAATATTTAAACATGGGCAATCTGGTTCCAATACCTATGCTCCTATGAAATGTGCTAATAAGTTTTGGGGGAGTGGGGGGCGGCTGGCTGGTGTTACAAGGCTGTGCTCTTATCAACTGAGCCAACTGGCCAGCCCTAAAAGTGCTAATAATTAAGAAAATGACTTGAAAACAGAGAAACTGATTTGAAAGAAAGTCCCTCTTTTACTCTGGTCTTCTTTGACTCAGAAAAAAATTATCTCCTCTTTCTTCCCCTCTATGGCCACTTGAGTAGTTCTATCCATTTATCTGGACAGGAGCTTGAGACACCTGCCCCGCTCTCACAGAATCATGCACTACTGGAAATGTCCTCTCTTTAGTATTCAAGAAAGTCTCTTAATTCGTCTCAAGTGTGTCAGTGTTTCTGGGAGTCGGGGGGTTGAGGAGAATCAGGTTTTCTGGGGAGCACTTGGACATGGGAACTCAAGAAGTCATTCTCAAAGCTGGAAACTGGGATCCGAGAGAGCATGGCTTTATTCAGCACCGTGGACAGAGCTGGTGGAGTCCTCAGGACCCTGGACAGAGAAGCCCTTGGTCGAGCCCGCGGGGGGAAGCGAACATCACTTGAGAGCGGACCAAGCGTAGCCACAGTTCTCAACTCCCTTTTCCCTCTCTTTTCTTCAGCCAGACTTCAGCCACCTGCTCCTGAATCTTAGGAACAGAGGTACAGGCAGCAGATATATTTTAAGGGCGCTAATGGGAGATAAGATTCAGGTGGGGAGGATTATTTAAATAAAAATAGCTTTGGCTAATGTACTCCGAGAACTCTTGAAAGATCTAAATTAGAGTCCTCAGCTGGAAGAAGGGCACAGCTAATGATATTTGTTAATTATACGTATTTTTTAGGAAGAGTAGCAAAGGGCTACCGTTATCCTTTCTATCCCTCAAGGTCCTATCCCCCATTCCTCACATTCAAGTTTTATTCTCTTGGAGAGCACTCCGTAGGAAAGAGGGAAATAATCTCTCCACAGTCCTTTGCTCTCCTCCCCATCTTCCCCTTGCCTACCCCCGCTCACCCCCTTTCTCTCTTTCTCAAATACACACGTGCCCGCGCACAGGCACGCACACACGGCTGCAGCGTGAAAAGCATGAGAGGTCCTGCACGCTTGGTGATGATTAAATTCAGAGCAAGCGGATGCCCCCCAAATCAGGCTCTGTCCCTTTAAATGGGTTGTAGCAGTGGGGGAGGGGAACTGGCCGGAGCTGGCATTGTCCAGTTTGAACCGAGCACCGGAAGTGAAGGGGCAGGGCCAGGGCCGTGCACTGAGCCCCGGGCCATTGTCCATCTCCGACCAGGGCAGTAGCCACCCCCCTGGCCAACGCTCTTTATGTCCTAGAAGGGGAGGTTACCTCTTCAGATGAGGAGACCCCGTAGCCCATTTCCTCCTCCAATCCCGCTATGGGGAGGGGAGCGCACTTTTTAGGATGGTGACTCGGAAGCCAGGAGGGTTTGGGAATCTAAGAACGTCGGGAGTACTGGAGTCCCTCTCTCAGTCCCTCTCCCAGCAATGGATGGGGACAGGGTGGGGGTGGGGGCAGGATGAGAAGGCAGCTGGCAAGTGAGGGACAAACTTCAAGCCTCTGAGTTCCTCCTGCACTACTCGGGAGCTCTGCCTGAGGCCAACTTTGGACAGATTTGGAAGGAAAGAAGGAAGAGTTCTTTACGGAATCAATTAGGAGCGCTTTCCCTCTTATAATTGGGAGAGATCCAGAAAAACTCTGAGTGGGAAACTCGGTGAGGCAGAGACTCTCAGTTTGGTCAGAGGCAGACAGACTTCGAGAGGCAACGCCTCGGTCTGGCCAGGAGATCAGCCCAGCGGGGTCTCCAGCCTCTCCCCTGCTCCCCCATCCCAGGCTTCCTAGTGTCCAGAACTCCACGTCTATCTAAGCACACGGGGGTGGGGGGCGAGAGCGGGTCAGCGCCGAGCAGCCGGGTCAGCTCAGAGGCCTGAGGGGGAAGCGAGGGGGAGGGGCGCTGAAGGACTGGGGGAGGGGGAGGGCTCATCCATTTCTCCCTTGACAGGTGGCTTGTGTTTCTGATTGGCCAGCGCCGCCAGGCTCACACCTCCCTCCCCCAACTCTCTGGAATGTATAATTATCTGCGCGGGGGGTGGGGGTGGTGTGTGAGTGTGTGTGGGAGCAGTCACGTGGTTTTAAAACTAACCTCCCCAGGTCTCCCCTACCTGTGTCTGCTTTGGGGACCCCCACTGAGTCCTTAAAGTACAGGATCCCAAACCCCGAAGTACCCAAGACTTCTAGGGCTGACAGCCCCCGTCTCCAGATGTGTGTGTGGGGAGGGGGTGTCAAACCTGAAGGTTCTGAGAAGGGACACCCCAGAGGTGTCAGAGACCACAGCGGTGGGGGAGGGCCGGAGCTGGAGCCAGAGGGAAAGGGAGGGGAAAGAAGAGGGAGGGGAGGGGAGGGGGCTGCCCGCGGGGGGTTGGGTCATTGTCTTTTAGAATTTGGGAGCCTTTGAAAAGCCGTGGGCCCTCCCACCGCTATTGTGCGGGGGAAGATGTAGCAGCCTCTTCTCCGAACCACCCCTTTGCCTCCGGACTTCTCTGGGGCCAGCAGCCGCCTGACCAGGGGCCCGGGGCCGCGGGCTCTGCCGACGACCATGGGCTCCGTGTCCAACCAGCAGTTTGCAGGTTCGAGCTTGGGACTTAGCGGGGACACCCTAGGGTGCAGGGGCGCCCAGGAGCCACATGGAAGGGAGGTAGGAGAGTGTTCCTTGGGCTGCACGAAGGACCCCAAGTCGGTGCGGCCTTCTGCTTCATGGGGCCATCTCTGGAGCAAGAAACCCTGGTGTCCCAGTGGCGTGCGCGCCTTGGTACGGGGTTGGCGGGAGAGAAGAGGAGGGGCCTGTCCCGCTGTGTGTCCCCGGGCAACGTGTTGTGGGAAGAGGAGCAAAACTTTCGGGGCACCACTGGCCTCGGTGTAAGCGTGGGGAAAGCGGGAGGCAGCCCGGACAGGTTCTTTTCGCTCGCTGCTTGGTAGCTGCCCCCTCCTGGGTGTCCACCCGTGGGCTGGACACTCGGGTCTTCCTACCCGGGCCCTGAAAGGGCCCTCCAGTTCGAGGGCCACCCAGCTGAGCTCCCGGTCCTCCCTATCTCCAGGTGGCTGCGCCAAAGCGGCTGAGGAGGCACCCGAGGAGGCGCCGGAGGACGCGGCCCGGTCGGCAGAAGAACCGCAGCTGCTGCACGGTGCCGGCATCTGTAAGTGGTTCAACGTGCGCATGGGGTTCGGCTTCCTGTCCATGACCGCCCGCGCCGGGGTCGCACTCGACCCGCCGGTGGACGTCTTTGTGCACCAGGTGAGACTGATTGTGGTAACTTTGCCTCTGGAAGGAGGTCTAGGAGTGCACATCCATGGGTAGGCGGAGGGGCTCGGCTGTTGGATTGAGGGAGATCAGGGGCCCTCATTGTGCGTCCCCATCTTTGCCGAGGTACCCCGATTCTGTGTCCCTGTTAAGTACAACGGGAGGAGAGTGGGAGGGCAGCACCGATTATCAGCACTACTACCCGCCCCCTTCCGGGAACCCCTCCGGCTTACCACGTGTCTATTACCTCTTTCCCCTGGGAAGGGGGCAGGGGGCAGGGAAGTGACCCCGTGTGGCAGAAACTAAGGTTGTATTGTGCTTGCCGGTGGGGGGAGGGCGAGCAGGCCGGCCAGGGAAGTACATGCCGGGTTATACCCGGGCGCCGAGCTCCCAGCGCCTGAATGGAGCTCGGGGCGAGGGAGAGAACTGGCTACCGGACCCAAGGGGGCATAAAGCTGAGAAATCAGCATCGCCGGCCCTTTAGACCTCGACCCGGTGGTCACCCACATCTTGGGGCCTGCGTAGGTTTGGCAGATCCCTGAAGGATCCATTTGGGGGCTTGTGAACTCATTTAAGAGGATTCCTCATAGTTCAGGACTGGGGACTTTGCTATCCAATTCCTGCTAGGAGAGAAAACCTAAGGAGCTTAGGCCTTCCATTCCTGGGCCAGGCTGGGAGGGAGTGGGTAGGTCGCAACCCCAAGTTCTCAGTTAAAGCAAGGCAGCACAGTGGGAGGTGAAATTCAGTGTCGCAGGGCAGGGGGTGGAGGGAGGCCGGCCTCTGGACCTATTCTCAGCTTGGCATTTATGGCCCCAGACAGCCATTGATTGCTGTCCTAACATTCCTGGCCTCAAACAAGGAGTCAGACTTCAGGTCTCCCTCCTCCCAGGCTTCCCCTTTTCTGAATATCCTAGAGTCATTCCGGTGGTCCTGGACCACCAGCCACCCACAATGACCATGTAAAAGAAGTTGCTGCCTGCGTTCCTTCCACCTTTGGAGGTTTGGAGCTGGACCTGGAAAGAAGAAATTTGCTAATCCCCTGCCCTGTACGTTGACACCCAGGCCGGGAAGGGAGGGGTTACTTCAGGGAGGTTGGCTTTAGGAGCCATGGGGGGATGGGAAAGGAGGATGTGGGGATTAAGGGTTGGAGCCTGAGGGATGGCATTTTTGGAGGGGGAGGGGTGGGGAAGGGAGATGCTGGGTGGACTAGTTGGAGGCTTCACGGAAGTCTCTGAGCACAATCCTCTAAGGAGGTTGAGTTGGGGGGGACAAGGGAGAGGGGGACCCACAGTTATTGTTGGGGACAAGTGGTCACTGGGCTACTTGAACATCTACCATGAGGACCTGCAGCAGGATGCTCAGCTACCTCCTTGCAACACCCCATTCCACCTGCATTCCTCCCATCTTGACTGCCTGTTTCAGGCTGGTGGCTTTGCCCCCCTTCCTGTCTCATTTACATATGTGAATGATAACCCACAGGAAGTAATTGTGAGAGAAAGAAGGGAATTGGCCTCTTTAGATCTATTAAATCACTTTATTACAGGAACCAGCTTTGAATGGCCCTCCTCAGCAGGGTGGCAAGCCTCCCCCACTCACCCATTTATCTGATCACAAAGAGATTAAAATCTTTCCTGGTCTGGCAAAGGACTGGACAGCTTCTCCAACTTTGGAAACCTGGAATAAGAGTCAGATCCAACATTTTCTTCCCTCCATAGGTTGCTAAATAGGGAGGGGCTGAGTGGAACATATCCCCTCATCTTCTGGGGTCCCATGATGATATACGAATCCCAAGGAAGGTTTTCCTGAGCAAGTGGGGATCTGTGCCTCAAAAGACTTAACCTTAGTTAGGATCCAGAGCAACTGGAAAATTACTGGAGAGCCTAGAGGAAAGCAGGGGACCTTCAGGCTTGGGTAGTGGAGCCTACACTATGCAGTTTCAGATAGACTAGCTTATAGATAATCTGCACTTCAGAGTCTTGGAATTTCCAGGGACCCACAGTTGAATACGTTATCATGAGGGAGATGAGCTGGGATCAAGAATCACAATTTTTCTCCCTAATCCCCAGCTCTCCCAGTCAATAACTGGTGGAAATTCCCTGAGCTTTACCTGGTAGCTCTGTATGATAGCATGCTGCTGGGGCTAAGTAAGTTAGTCCCTGCACTTAAGAAATTTGAAATATTTCTCTGATAATCCCTAAGAATTGTTTACTGGGGGAGAAGGAAGTGTTCCTGAAGCAGAGCGAGGGTAAGAAATCCTTAACGAAACTTCTCATTCTTTGGCTGTGGCTGGTGAGCACCCTGGAGTTGGGGTGGGGTGGTAAGAAGGATAATTGTCCTAAATTAACTTTTGCTGGGGGGGAGGGAGGATAGGGAGCCCCTTTCCAGGGTAAGAGAGAGAGGGGAAAAAAGTAATTTAGAACATTTTCTTTTCCCTCACAAGGTTGGGCTTATTAGGTTCCCAACACCCTGTTAGCTACTGTTCTTACACACTCTCCCAAATACTTTATTTGGCCCCCCAGGAATGAGTAAGTGGGAGAAAAAGCCCATCCTCAGCCTAAAATAAACAAAAATCCCAACCCATAAAGCAAAGAGACATCTGTAACAACACTTTTACTCAGCCACAGGTCTTTAGATATAGAAATGTGTCTCTGGGGTTAGGGGAATTTAAGAATCATAAAGGCAGATTTCAGAACCTTTATAGTTTCTCAATCTCCACACTGTTGACATTTTGAGCAGGATAGTTCCTTGTTCTAGGGGCTGTCCTGTGCATTACAGGATGTACAGCAGTATTCTTAGCCTCTACCCCCTAGAGGAATAGAGGCCAGTTACATCCTTTAGTTGTGACAACCAAAAATGCCTCCTCCGGACCTTGCCAAATGTCCCCTGGGAGGCAAAATCACCCCCTTCCCTTGGGAAACACAGGGAAAGCTAGAGCAAGAAAGAGCTAAACTGTCTCCTATTTTCCTGAAAATCACCAAGAATTCTAAAATCCCTATGGCCATTTAAGAGTTTTGTCTTAACTCATTTCCTGTGACTCTATTCCTGAACTTTCAAGATTTGTAGAAATTAGGAAATAAAACTTTCTGCTTTCCCCTAGCTCCTCAGAATCCAGATATGTTTAAATCAGCTTTTTAGCTAAATGCTATATCAGAAGGCTTGGGCAAAACAAAAGCACAAATTTGACCAAGGGATCAAGTTGCGTTAGGATAAAAAATTTTCAATACTGAGACAGAAACTGCTGAAATTGCTCCGAAGCCACATGGCTTGCTTTTTCTGAAAGCGATGAGTGCAGGGTGGAAAGAGCAACCTCAGTCGGGGTCTAGGTTAGCACTGTTGCGTTTGGGTCCAGGGTTTTGTAAGAAATATTTCCCACCTGGTTTAGTATATTGCACCTCATTACTAACATCATGTCTAGTTATTGACGATCTTGTTGTATACCCTCCTCTAATTAACCTGTAAGTTCTTTGAAGAGAGGAACTTCACTGTCTGGTTAATTTTCTAGTGTGCACTTGGTGGGTTAATTTAATGAATATGAAAAAGTAAGGGGATCTTGAGCACCTTGGTGATCAGTCAGAAACACAGTCAACAGTTTGAGATCCATGTCTGTAGAGGTCTTCCTCCAGAGAAAAAGACTGGAGATAGGGAGAGGTATTACCCACTAGCTGCTCTCTTTCTGGACTGGCTAGAACATGGCCTGGCACAATATGCCACCATGAACGCCTGTGGAGTGCATATCAGTGGAACCACACCCTGAGCTCCAGATAGGATCCTGTTTTTGTAGATGGACTGGAAGCCACAGATTTGGTGGCCATTTGTTAGGTATTTCATTTCCATCTCAATGGGAAAAGGCAGAGTAAAAAAATCGCCTTGATTTTTCAGAAAGTTTGTAAAGAAATACGTGGGTTAATTTCGGCACTGTGGAATCTTTTGGGGTGCTTCGCTGAGAAGACGTGCTTTCTAGATGATGTCTCAAGTAAAGGCTGTGCCCCTATACCAAAGCTTCAAATATGGGAAGCTTATACTTTGCAGTTTGTGACACTGCTGCCTACCCTACAAGTGGTTTTTAGTGACTTTCACCAGGGCAGTGTAGTTTCTTGAACATTTCTAATCAATCAATCACACTCTCCACCCTACTGGAATTCATGTTTTTTGGAAAAACTGCCCTAGGTAAAACCACCCCCCCTTCTCCCTGCAGTCATAAAAATCAATTACCGGCCCCATAGTCAGTCTGGGAGGTCAAAGGAATAGGAGGAGGAGAAATCTTTCAAGAACAGTACATAATTGGTACAGACTTATTAAACATTATCTCAGCTTGGAGTTACTTAATTCAGACAGGAAGCCAGGGTCCAAAGAGAGTAAATGGCTTTTCTAAATAAATGGCTTTTCTAAACAGTAACAAGAACAAGTGGGTTTCTACCTAAAATTCTAGGAACCTTTTATTCTTATCCTTGAGAAGCAGGCGGGTGAGTGGGGGTGGTGTGGGAAGTACGCCCCCTTCCGTGGAACTCTGTCTTCCTGAGGCTAGAGGAGGACAAGATGACTGCCTTAAGGAACCGGGGCAATGAATCTCCATGAACACTGCTCACAGTTCAGAACCAGGTTTTGTGCCGACATGCTGGTGAGCAGCGCCATCTGGTGGAGAACTCCAGGCAGGAGCTGGGGGGTTGGCTGCCTGCCGCCTTTGGTTGTGGACCTCTTTTTTCACCACCCTCCTTGACACACACCATTAAATAAATTGTTTCTGGGGGAACCAGTTGGTTACCCAGCCCCTACCAAATCCTACCTCCAGGAACAAAGCTCAGGTAGAGCTGTGACACCACAGGACTGAGTCATTAAATTACCTTCATCTGCTTCTTTTTACTTTTGAAATGTGACTACTAGAAAGTTTAAAATTTTATATGTGACCTGAATGATACTGGATTGCACTGGCTACAGAGTCAGGCTAGTTGCAATCAGCCCAGCTCTTCCCTCTCACTGTGACTTGACCAAGGTGC